CGTCTGCCCTAGTTGCTGAGCTCGTCGACTTTGCTGCTCGCTGTCGCCTAGACTACGTCGCCAGTCTTGTTGCTGAGTCTGAGTCTGTCTGTCCTCCGTCCGTCGGGGGTGAGTGTGCCCTTGGCACGGACGTCCTTGAGGACAGGCAGGAGGAGTTCCAGTGCTTGGCCGCTGCTTCACCTCATCTCGTGTCCGTACTGCTTACCCCTGAGGGAGACCCGGATGCACTTGACATCCCGACTCCGCGCTCTTACGCGGAGGCGATAGAGGGTCCCTACTCCTCTCAGTGGCAGGCAGCTATGGACGCAGAGATGGCTTCCTGGAAGTCCACAGGCACCTACGTTGACGCTGTTCCCCCTCCTGGGGCGAACATCGTCAGTGGCATGTGGATTTTCAGGGTGAAGCGGCCGCCGGGTTCTCCGCCTGTCTTCAAGGCGCGTTACGTGGCTCGAGGCTTCAGTCAGCGGCAGGGAGTTGACTACTTTCAGACCTTCTCTCCCACCCCGAAGATGACCACTCTTCGGGTACTGCTGCACGTAGCTGCTCACCGTGACTACGAGCTACACTCTCTTGACTTCAGCACTGCTTTCTTGCAGGGCAGCCTGCACGAGGAGATCTGGCTGCGTCGCCCACCTGGTTTCACTGGGTCTTTTCCTCCTGGCACCCAGTGGAGCCTACGGCGGCCAGTCTACGGTCTCCGCCAGGCACCGCGTGAGTGGCACGACACACTGAGGACTACACTTGCGGCTCTTGGGTTTGCTCCCTCTACTGCCGACCCGTCGCTGTTTCTGCGCACCGACACTTCTTTGCCGCCGTTCTACATCCTCGTGTACGTCGACGACTTGGTCTTTGCCACAGCTGACACTGCTGGACTCGCCCACGTGAAGTCCGAGCTGCAGAAGAGACACACGTGCACTGACCTGGGTGAACTGCGCAGCTACCTTGGCTTGCAGATCACTCGGGACAGAGCACGCCGCACCATTACCCTGACTCAGTCACACATGGTGCAGCAGGTCCTTCAGCGCTTCGGCTTCACGTACTCCTCGCCTCAGGCCACTCCTCTGCCTACTCGCCACTCGCTCTCAGCTCTGCCTTCGGATGAGTCCGTAGAGTCGAGTGGCCCGTACCCAGAGCTTGTTGGCTGCCTCATGTACCTGATGACCTGCACACGACCTGACCTTGCATACCCTCTTAGCATTCTCGCACGCTATGTTGCTCCTGGGAGACACAGACCGGAGCACATGGCTGCAGCGAAGAGGGTGTTGCGCTACTTGTGCAGTACGTCGGGCATGGGGCTTGTGCTTGGAGGGCAGAGTCCAGTGGTCCTTACTGGGCACGCAGACGCTTCTTGGGCTGACGACCAGGCTACGCAGCGGTCGTCACAGGGTTACACCTTCAGCCTTGGTTCCGGCTCTGTTTCGTGGCGGGCTACTCCCTCGTCTTCTGTTCTCGGCTCCAGTTGTGAGGCTGAGATCTACGCAGGAGCCATGGCTGCACAGGAGCTTCGCTGGCTCACCTACCTGCTGACTGACCTCGGAGAGCCGCCTCGTTCTCCTCCAGTGCTGTACGTAGACAACAAGGCCATGCTGGCCTTGTGTCGGGAGCAGCGACTGGAGCACAGAACGAAGCACATTGCTCTCCGCTACTTTCTTGCTCGTGAGCTGCAGCAGCGTGGTCAGCTGCGTCTTGCGTACGTGGCCTCTGAGGCCAACACTGCTGATATCTTCACCAAGGCGCTTGCGCCTTGTGACCATCAGCGCTTCTGTACTCAGCTGGGCCTTGTGCCTACCTTGCCTCACTTGCTTACCTCTTGACCGTGCTTGTACTGTTACATATATATATACCTGCTCTTGCTTGTCTAGCCTTTTTATATATATGTACTCCTGCATGTGAACTGGCCTTGTGGCCTTGACCTTGTGCTCGGAATGTGTGGTGACTTTGTGATCCACCCTGAGCTTGCTTTGCTTTGCTTTACTTGACTGGTCTTGTGACCCCTTGTTCTCCCCCACTTTGCCTATGGGGGTGTGTCAGAACATTATAGCTCATGCATATTGTGTAGGCTATAGTGGGGTAGCCCATAAGGGGTACAACCCAATTAGGGTTATTACTTGTACTCAATTCATTCATAGTTCATCCATTCCTTGTTTCTTCTCACTTCGTATTCCTTGTAATCATATGTATATATATATTTGTATCTCTTTGCTTTAATCAATCTATCTTGATCTCACATACTAGTGCAAGGTGGTTCAATAATCTTATTATACGCTTCCGCAATTACAACATTTCTACTCTAGATCTTAGCCTTGAAAGATCCTAAGGGCTTTTCTCAGCCCAACAACACTGAGTACCTAGCAACAGTTGTGGCAGCGACACTAGGGAAGAGAAGAGTGATGCGACAGCAGCCAGCTACCGATGGGTTTTTCAAGTGCCTTCTCTCACTTCTCAGACATGTTTGCTGCTCTGCTCACTGCTCAGTTCCTTGTGTTTCTCCTCAGAAAGGCTCACATCAGACTCGACGCCCTCACACTCTAGGTAAACTCGTCTGATTCAGCCCTTCTTGAACCTTACAGCCCCCCCACGTTCAACGGTATTACAGGTTCACCATTGTTCTAGTTGTCCATGTAACTCATCAATTCACAATTGAAACAACCGATACAATAATCGTAGCGGGTTGTAATCTGTTTTCGCACACGGATTCTCCCTCCAGTGTATGTTATTCCTATGTACTCACAATAATTGGTGTAAAATAACGGAAAAGCTTCACTCTCTCAGCTAGTCGCGGCCATTGTGGATGCTCCTTATTGAGCATTTTATCAGCAACGAATAATGGTACAATCAAGTGAGCATACCCATTTTAGCTGATACTGCACCTGCCATCAACGGGGATATGTTCGAGTCTAGGTCCTCCCCACACAAACATGTCAGATCTGCACGGTGGCCTTGATATGCTAGTGGCTGGCAATCTCTGAGGAAATCCATCCATTTTGCTGGGGACACTGCGATGTGTCTTTTCATTTTTTTTTCCACTGCGGGCAGCGGGAATGACCAGCAGAGAGTTGTTCACTGCACGCTGTAGACACCTTGAAGAGACGAAATCAAGGATTCGAATCCCAGGAAAGAGGAGGAAGGAATCCCGCGAGCCGGCAAACCATTGGGATTTCATGGGACGTTTAACCAATCGTGATCAAACAACACCACGGCTTATCCTCGAATTTGACGCATTCGTTGGTGATGAGGCGGTGACCGGCAGGCAACTTTCGAAGTAAGGCATTGTTGGTCGACAGAATCAGTCAAGCGTGCATTCATCGGCTTTCGTGATTCGTGGGCGTGCCCTCCCCCGAAGATTCCAAGGAGACCCAGCACAGTGCTGCCCGTTCAGGATGGTGACACTGCCCGAAACTCTGTACCTTTCCGCGAGGTCTCCTGCTCAGCCCCACAAAGAGAATCTCCATTTTTTCCGTCTCTCACAGACGGAATGCTGGGATATGGAAAATCTATGGCTGGAAAAATCTGCGGGTGGGCTCATCTGTTTCCATTCCTCCACCAACCTAACTCGCCTGCCCTCCCCCCTTCTTGATTCACAGTCTTGACTTCTGAGCCATATTTGCGGTGAGCAGAGGCTAATGTTTGTGGTGGTTTCACGTGGAGTGTTAGACCCTCTTTGAAGCTTAGTAGGCAACCTAGTAGTTGCTTTCAGCCGGCTGTCGGAGATTAAACATGACGGCTCGGAATGATGACGGTGACGGGCTATCCCTCGGGCTCTCCACGAGGAACGACGCGTGGCGAAACTGTGGCGATTGGGAGGCCACTTTGCCAACTAAGGAGGAGTTAGTTCCTCTTAATCAACGCCTTATTACTCCTATGCTCGCTGCAGCATTCAGCATTAAGGAATCAATGTACAACGTTACAGAGCAAGACGTCGAACGTGCTGCACAGGTCAACATTCTTCCGCCTATTTTTGAGTCGACTTGAAAATATTATTTAGCATAACCTCGACTGTTTGCTCTGCCGTAACTAATTCATAGGAAATTCCTGGTTCTAGCGTGAATGCCGTTTATCAGTCTTTAAGAACGATCCGTAGTTTAGAGATTCGTAGCATATTAATTCTAGGTCGCCTGCGAGCCGGTCTCACAATAATGTCTCGCAATTCGGCTGAAGTGGCGTTTCGACTTTTGCTTTCGCTTTCCTCGCTCGCCTTCTGTTTTATCGGTTCCGACGTGTTTTAAAACCAATTGCTTATTTTGTTTACATTTTATCCCTTCGTTTCCAGGCCACGTTGAACAACATATTGCAACATCCCAGGTTAACGACACGACCGGAGATCGTTTCTCCCAGCTTGAATCACCCTCAGTTTCAGTCTCTTCACACGGGAGCCTCCCGAGCCGCCGCTCCGTCCAATCACCCTCCTCCTGCAGACGCGTCTCCTTTCGCGAACGTTCCTTCGCGTCCGTCGCACGACCAGGAGTCGCTGGAACGCGGGCGAGATGAGCGGAGCCGGCGAGAGTTTGACCCCGCCGACCGTTTTGTTGATGATGACCGCGCGCCTCAAGGGGACCGCGCGCCAGTGCCGCGTGCAGAGCAGGAGAGGCTGGAGCAGCAACGCGAGCACTTGCACGGAAGGCAGCAGCAGCACCAGCGGGAGCAGCAGAGGGAGCAGCAGCGGGAGCAGCAAGGGGAGCAGGGTTATCAGAGGCAAGAGTTTGAAAGAGAGGAGCAGCGACAGCGGCAGGAAAGACATCAGCGGCAGCAACGCGAGCAGCAGGAGCAGCGCGAACATTTTTCTGCGTCAACTGGAGCGGAAGCGATGCGCGGGGAAGGAGACAAGCGGGCGGCCGCTGCGCTGTTCCCCGGCTATCAGGGGGCTCCCCGCGACCAAGAGCCTAGGCGCGGGGATTTTGGCGAACGGAGGTTTTCTAACGAAGCGGATCGCAAGCTTTCCAACGAGGATGGACGTAAGCGGCTCGGCAATACAAATGCTAATCCGCAGCTGTCCATTCCCAATGATCCCGACCGTTCGAACGCCCGATTTGGCCCTGATGGACTACGGGGCGCTACTGCTGACGTGGACGCCAGGTTTGGAGGGTGGAGACATGATGAGGGTGGCTCGGATGCAGGTTCGGATGGAGGCTCGGGTGGTGGTGGAAGGGGGTCTTTGGGGGAAGCGATGAGGCGCCCTGGTGATGGGATTGATCATGTCCAAAGGGGTCGAAATGGGGGGTTTAATAACGTGGAGGGACATAGTGGGGGAAATAACCCTAGAAAATTGACAGCTTCTGGAAGGCGCGCGTCGGAAAATGGACCGGAATTTTCGGGAGATGGAGGACAGGGTCGCAGGGAGGAGAGTGAGGGAGTGAGGGAGAGGGGGAGAGAGAGGGGGTGGGAGCGAGAAAGAAAGAGGGAAAACCAAAGGGAGCGGGAGAGAGGAAGTGAAGAGGAAGATGATGAGGAGAGGGAGAGGGATTGGCAGCGAGAGAGGGGTGGAGAGAGGTCAAGAGAGGTGGAAGGGCGGCGGCAGCAGCAGCGGGAAGGGGGAGGGGGGAGCCAGAGGGACGGAGGGGGGGGGATGAGCAGGGGAGCTGTGAGCGATAGCGTGGGGAACGGGAAGGGTTTGAGTATGGACGATGGGGAGGGGAGGAATGGGAGTCTTAGGAGCGGTAATGCGAAGGAGAGGATGCAGGAGCAGCGGCAGCAGGAGGAGCAGCAGGAGGGTGGGGGCAAGAGGGCGAGGAAAGGGAAGGATTCGTCGCCCGAGCCGGATGAGGATTCAGGTGTGTGTATGATTGATTCGAGGGGGAGGCTGCGTGCGTGCGTGTGTGGGACTGTGTGCGTGTGTGTGCGTGCGTGCGTGTGTGCGTGCGTGCGTGTGTGCGTGCGTGCGTGTGTGCGTGCGAGCACGCGCACGCATGCGCTATCACTCCCTTATGTGCTCCTGTTCGCAGTCATGTTGCCCCATCCGCATCCATCCGAAGGGACCAGCATCCTTTGCATCTACATCTATCCGCATCCATCCCAACCCATGCACCTGGCACGCTGCCATTTGTTCTGACACGTGCCAAGAGCCCATTCGCGCCCATCCATTCATCCACGTGGCAGGCAATCAGGAGGGCAACAGCAGCGACGGCCAGCCACGCACTCTCAAGCGCCCCCGGCTCGTCTGGACCCCACAGGTACAGCAAACCATCTCCCGTCCCGCCCTCTCGTCCCGAGCTCCCGTCCTGTCCTCTCTTCCTGCTCACTCATCCCGCCCTCTCGTCTCGTTCTCCTTTCCCGTCCCCTCGTCTCGCCCTCTTCTCCCTTTCTCCTTCTCCCATGTTCCGTCACCGTGCCCTCCCCAGCTGCACAAGCGGTTTGTGGACGCCGTGTCGCATCTGGGCATCAAGAATTACGCGCTTAACCCGCTGTCCCCCTCCTCCCCCTTCCCCCACCCCACCCCCCATGTGCGCTTGTCACTCTCTCCCCCCTCCCCAGCTTCACAAGCGGTTTGTGGACGCTGTGTCACATCTGGGCATCAAGAACGCCGTGCCAAAGACAATTATGCAGCTTATGAATGTGGAGGGGTTGACAAGGTAAGTGTGGGCTGTGTGGGTGTGTGTGGGTGCGGGTGCAGGTGCGGGTGGGGGTGGGAGTGGAAGAACATATACTTTGTATTCTTCATACAAAACAAACTTACATACTGCAGTCAAGACTTGTAGTTCCTTCCACCTCTTGTAAACATTCTTACTTATCTAAACATTCGTTTTCTTTCTTCGGATCCTCTACCCCGCCTTGCAATAACCTCCCTCAACCCCCTCTCCCCTGGCTACCACTCATGCAGGGAGAATGTGGCTTCGCATTTGCAGAAGTATCGGCTCTACCTTAAGCGTATGCAGGTGAGATGGAGAAACATGGAGAGGGATGGAGAGAGATAGAGTGAGATGGGGAGAGATGGAGAGAGATGGAGATGGAGAGAGTTGTAGAGAGATGGAGATGGAGGTAGATTGATAGCGAGAGAGGGAGATGGATGAAGAGGCACTAGGGAAGGGATTGCTAGAACGGGACGCCAGGGCCAGTTATAACTCAGTGTTTTCAGACATGATGACTCCACCCCAAGCAAGTGCAGGCAAGGTCAATTCTCTGCTCTCATCTCTCCCCTCCACTCTTCCTCTCCGCTCTCTCACCCCCCTTCGCAGGGCCATTCCGGGGACGACCCATCAGGAGGGGATCCTCTCTTCTCCTCCACGCCCCTCCCCACCAGCCTCAACAGCCCCCCACAGCCCTTCTTCCCGCCATCCGCCCCGCCTCCTCCCTCCGCTCCTCCCCCTCTCAACCCTCTCGCAGCCGCCGCTGCCGCCGCCGCAGCAGCAGGGGGAAACCCTATGGGGAACCTCAGGGGCGCTCTATCCGCCCTAGGAGCAGCAGGGCTATCCTCTCTCCCCTCTTCACTCCATCCAGATGACCCACTCCTCTCCTCGCCTCATTTCTCAGCGGCCGCTGCTGCTGCTGCCGCCGCCGCTGCTGCTGCAGCAGCAGGAGGCGGATCCAACCCCCTGCTCCCTTCCCAGCTAGCTGCGTCTCTTTCGAATTCCCAGCAGCAGCAGCAGCAGCAACAGCAGCAGGCAGCAGCAGCGCAATACCTTGCCGCGGCTCATAACCCCGTGGGGAACCCGCTTGGTGCTGCTGCTGCGGCTGCAGCTGCGGCAGCAGACCCGATTTTGGGGCGAGCGCTGAGTGCGTATGCGGCGGCTGCCGCTTTTTACGACCTTCAGAATAGTCACGGGCAGAATCATCTTGGGCAGAATAGTCTCGGGCAGAATAGTCATGGTGGGGCGGGGTTGGGAGGAGGCGCTGGTGGGGGGATGCATGGGGGGGGAGGGCTTGGGGGAATGCATGCTGGGGGACTGGGGGGCGGACATGGGGGGGGATTAGGTGGGGGGCATGTGGGGGGAATGGGAGGAGGGTCGAACCAGCCACCAGGAGCAGCAGCAGCAGCCGCGGCGGCGGCAGCAGCAGCAGCGGCCGCAGCAGCACAGCAACAAAGGCCACCATCCCTCCCCTTTGCCCCATCCCAGTTCAATTCCTTACTCTCCGCGGCTTCAGGGGGAATGGGTACCTTAGGGCCTGGGGGAGGGGGACCAGGGGGAATGGCGGGTCTGGGGGCTGGGGGAACAGGACCAGGGGGAATGGGGAGCCTGGGGGGCGGGGGAGCAGGGCAGGGGGGGATGGGGAATCTGGGGATGTCAGCAGGGGGGTTGGGGAATGCCGGAAGTGGGAGTAGATTCGGCCCTATGAGTCACGCCAGGGATATTTTTGGCCGGGATTTCCCGGGTGGTGGGTTAGGGGGGGCAATGGGAGGGGATATGGGAGGTGCGGCAGCAGCAATGGCAGCAGCTGCGGCGGCTGCTGCTGCTGCAGCGGCAGGTTCGGCAGGAGGAGGAGGGGGAGGAGGGGCGGCAGCAGGAAGGGTGCCGTCGCCAGCACGACAGGTGCTGAGCCTCTTTCCAGAGCAGCAGTGAGGGAGAGGAGTGGTGCTTAGCCGTTTTGCCGAGCAGCAGTGAGGGGGGAGGAGGAGGAGGGTGAGGAGGGGGAGGAGGGGCAGTAGCAGCAAGGGCACTGTTGCCGACACAGCAGGTGCTGAGTCTCTTTCCAGAGCAGCAATGAGGGAGGAGTGGTTGACTGAGGAATAAAAGATTCGGCAGGAGGAGGAGGGGGAGGAGGGGTGGCAGCAAGAAGGGCACCGTCACCGGCTCGACAGGTGCTGAGCCTCTTTCCAGAGCAGCAGTGAAGGAGGAATGGTTGACTATTGTAGCAACTCGGGAAGGAGGGGCGAAGGGGTGGGGGGGGGGAAGGAGGGGCGGCAGGAGAAGGGCAGCACTGTCACCGGCTCGACAGGTGCTGAGCCTCTTCAGCCATAGAAGCTTTGTTTAGGCGAGCTGCAGTCTAGAAAAAATCTTCAGCAAATGATACGGTAGTCAGTAGTAAAAATTGACCCTGTTTAAAAACCGAGAATCTGAAAACTGAACTCTTATTCCACTACAGGATTAAAACACGAACATGTTTTGGAAGACTGGGACAGGCCCCAAGTCAAACCTTCAAGCAGAGTGGGAATCAGGGCCTATGATTCACTTTTAGGCACGTTAATGCATCAGGGTCCCTCTGTGTAGAATCCCTGATCGTCAGTGTTCACAAAAAAAAAAAAGCATGATAATTTTGAAAGTGTAATGAAATGTAACACTTTCTAAAATTTTGTATTGGGAAAATGGATACGTGGCCAACACAACAAAGGTAGCGCCGAAGCGCTACTCACCCTCTTTTGCCTACAAAAGAGGGACGTGGGGACATTCTTCCCCACCCACGTTTTCATTTCCGAAATTGTAGTTCTAATTTCGTTCTCGTCAGGGCTGACTTTATCAGACTAAAATAGTCTGATTGTCTGAAATCTCAGGGTATTTTCCTACGGATCCTGATTTTTCAGACTTGTAAGATTTTCAAACATGAGTGCCTCAGACTTACTTGGTTTTGGATCCTGAGATTTTCAGAGTACTGACTTAGCCGATAATGGGTCTTCATACTACAGGGAGTACGGATCCTGAAATGCGGATCTGTGATTTCTACGTACATTCCGCTACGTCATATGTTGCCAGTGTACGAACACACTTCATGGCGCTGTCACGCGCAGAATCTGTCCTTGGCAACTTTTGCCACCCTTTTCCCTTAGAAATCTGCCAACTTGGCTCACTCTTCCACTCACGCGGGACCATCACTGCAGCTACGCGGTGTCAGCGAGGGAAACTGGTTAGCGTTGCGCCCCACGTGCTACATTTGTGGCAGTACTGTACTGCAGTGGTTGTAGTGTGTTCTGAGTACTTCAGAGGCCCTCAGATTCACTTTTAGGGACGTTGATGCATCAGGGTCCCTGTGAAAAATTGCCTGATTTTTCAGGGTTCCAAAAAAAAAACCCTGAATTTTCAGGGTTCCTAAAAACAAAAGCCTGAATAGTCAAATTCACCATGCCTTTAAGAAATATGCTAACCGATGGATTCGCACCGCAGACCTTTTCATTGCGTGTAAATTTCGCTAACCACTGAGACATTTCACCCTGCCAACTATCAGTATGTTGTTTATGTATATATTAAAAGTAGAAATGTTGGTCTCAGGTGTTTTGCGGGAAGGATTCGGAATGTGCATTCAGTGTACACTTCGATAAAAGTCTGAAACATCAGTGTTAGCTATGACGTAAAGGCTGAAAAAATCAGTGTCCCAAAAATCTCAACACTGAAAAATCAGGGGAGGTACACAAAACTAGGCTGAAAATCAGGAATTTCAGGGGAAAATTCCTGATATCGTAGGGCCTTCAGACTTGTGTTTTTGCGGAACCTGAAAAATCAGAGTGGCCATTCTCTGGGAAATATGCCTCAGACTAAAAAATTTCAGAGCCCCCAGAACATCAGACTGGATTTTTTTGAATAGTCAGCCCTGGTTCTCGTCCACACTGGCGAAGAATCAGTCGCTTCCGCGCTTCACGGCCCCGTCAATGCTCCTTAACGACATCCTTAAGCGCAACCTCGCAACGATGGCTCCGGTCAACCCGGCACTTAACCGCGACAACTCGAATATTTCAAGCCCCGGTAACGCGCCCCGCCGAAGAAATTTCAAGCGAGGGACCTTCGGCGGTCGACCTCCTGCTCGGAGGCACCCTTCGGACCCCTCCTGAGGAACGCACGACTGTTGTACAGTCGCGCGTGGCTGCTGCTGAAGAGCGCGTGCCTGGCAGGCACGCGCGTGCCACGCAGAAGAAGACGACCGCCGCTGACGCAGGTCCTTCCGGGCCCACGACCCAGAAACGCCAGCGCGCGGCACCCTCCGCTGACATCACGCCGGTCAACCCCCCCCCCTTTGACTACGCAGCAGCTGCAGGCGCTGCTCTCGTTACTGCAGCAGCACGCGCCATCGACTACAGCTACATCGACTGAAGAAATTTCTGCTTCCGCTAAAATTGAAAAGCAGAAGGAACCTGTCGCGCCCCCCTCGCTCCACCAAGGTCGCTCGCACTAACAATGCTGCTCCTGCTCCCCCCCCGGCTCCAGCACCAACCCAAGCCCGTATCTCCGACGACAGCGACGACTCGGAAAATGAAGACGGTGAGGCCCCCGACAACCTTGCTCGCCGTCGCATTCTCGCACCCGCACCCCCCCTCCCCCCCCTCAACCCTACACCCGCAGCTACTACCTTCATGCGCAAGGGAGTGCGTGACCAGGCGGAGGTGTTCTCTGCAATTCAAGCTCACCTGAGGCACGTCGAGTTCAAGCTCCAACACGGCGACGTCGAGGGCGCGCTCTCCAACGTGGCGCAAGTCGAAACGTTGATCAACAAACGTTTCGAGGTGCTCTTGGTGACGGATGAGGCCGGCTTCGAGGCGGCGGATCGGTTCCAGCTGTACCAAGCCAAGAGCGTGCTCACGTCCCGCTCTTACAAGTTCGCGATAGCCGACGTGGCGGCCCTCAATCGTGCACGCACCGGTTTCGCCCGCGGAGGCCGCCTTCCCCCTCGAGACGGCGAAACGGAAAGCAAAGGCATGCCGCCCGCGGGCTGCCACGAGCCCCGCTTCAAGGGAGTGTGTTTTCGTTGCAGCCAGCCTGGCCATATGGCAAACAATTGCCCTATGGGAGGGCGTGGAGCACAAAGTCCCGCACCCGTGGTGTGAGAGGACCCATGGGGCGGCGCCCCTTGCCACTATGCCGGGGGGCGTAGGTGGATGCACCGGTGGTGCGTAGGCTGGTTAGGAGCCTTGGAGAGTAGCATAGGCCATGAGGGCCAGGACAAAATGGCAGCTGTAGGGGCTGGTTATGGTGTAGGCCTAGGCTTGTATGCCTTTGTGTGGATTAATAAAAAAAAAATAAAGGGAGAGAGAAAGAGAGACAACAAGAGGAGGGAGGACGGATGGCACGGCAAGTCAAAAGCCAGCCCCCTCTTGAGGAAGGCAGCCATAGAGGAAGAATTGGCCAAGGGTGAATTACGAGGCAAGGACCGAGAGAAGAAGAAGAAGAAGAAGAAGAAGAAGAAGAAGAAGAAGAAGAAGAAGAAGAAGAAGAAGAAGAAGAAGAAGAAGAAGAAGAAGAAGAAGAAGAAGAAGAAGAAGAAGAAAAAAAACACACACACACACACGGAATGAGGGAGAGGAGAGAAAGAGAGAGAGGAAGAGAGAGAAAGAGGGAGAAAGAGATAGGGAGAGAGAGAGAGGGAGACAGAGAGGAAGAAAGGGGGAGAGAGAGAGAGAGAGGGAGAGAGAGAGAGGGAGGGAAAGAGCAAGCAAGGGAGAGAGAGACAAAGAGCGAGGGAGATAGAGAGAGAGAAAGAGAGAGAGAGAGAGAGAGAGAGAGAGAGAGAGAGAGAGAGAGCGAGTGAGAGTGAGAGTGAGAGAGAGAGAGAGAGAGAGAGAGAGAGAGAGAGAGAGAAGCCACGAAGACATCGTGATGAACAAGGTTGTGGGACCAAGTGATGCACATGCGCCGATCTCGTTGTAAGGCAACCTCAAAAAAAAAAAAAAAAAAAACACACACACACACACACACAAAAAACCCGTGCAAGGGCGTCATAGCTGACGAGTGGTCAAGGGAAGTGTTCAACCAAAAAAAAAAAAAAAGCCAAGGGTGCGGGGAGGCGCGAAGGCGGTGACAGGCGAGCGACATAGTTTGCCCCGCAAAGCGTCTCGATAAATCTCACGTCTAATCGACCTTGGTCCTCGTCCCCCCCCCCCCCCCATAACCTCGGTTGCCCACCAGTTGCAGAAGTGGAAGGCGAGTGGCAGAGCGCTCACTGGGACCCATACGAGCACGCAATAACGGACAACATGGTGTCCATCTGGCCACCGCCAGGAGCAGCAGTAGCAGTAGTAGTAGCAGCAGCGCGGCCACCCCTACAACCCCAACCAGCATACCACTCACGAAGCTGTTGGGGCGTGAGGGACTCACGCGGACGGCGCTGGAGCTGCATCTGGCCACGCCAGGAGCAGCAGTAGAAGTAGAAAGAGCAGTAGCAGCAGGAGCAGCAGTAACAGCAATACGAGCAGGGCAGTGCTCACCAGTGGCGAGAAGAGCAGGCGTACGACGGTGGTAACGGCGAGGCCGCTACCACTGCAGGGCGAGGGCTCCGCGGCAGCTGCAGGGGCGGCTGCTCCAGGGGCCAGGGGCGGCTGCTGCAGGGGCAGCTGCTGCAGGGGCGGCTGCTGCAGGGGCGGCTGCTCCAGGGGCGGCTGCTCCAGGGGCCAGGGGCAGCTGCTCCCTTTTTTTTTTTTTTTTTTTTTTTTTTAATAATTAATTATTTATTTTAGGGTTTGGCAGAGTGCACTCGGCGCTGTAGAGGCGGCTCGCGGGCTGCAGGGTGGCTCGGGCAGCAGCGAGGGGGGGGGGGGGGGGGGGGGGGGCGGCGCGCGGCTCCCCAGGGCGCCGCGACGGGGCAGCGGGGGGGGGGGGGGGGGGGGGGCGCGCGCGGCTCCCTAGGGCGTCGCGACGGGGCA